AGTACAAATACTCCTACTTGCTTCATGCTACAGAAACTGGGATAAGTATCGATCAGCTCTTGGACCACTTGGCTTGTATACCTACTGTGTATAATTTCATTGTGCAGTGTACTTCACCTACCACTGATCCATTTGTTTTATGTTTTTACTCTTTTTAGGGAATAGTATTTCTGTCAGACTGTATATTTGGAACCCCTTTCCAATCCACCAATGTCTCTGCTCGACCAATAAAGAAAGAGTCTGAAGTTCAAAAAGGGTCTGGTGAAGAGGATAATGATGAAAATGATGAAGAAGAAGCAGAGGAAAAGCAAGAAAATAAAACAGACCAGAGTGGTGTCAGGAAGAGGGTATGTATTTATGGCATGTGTTACAACTAGTTTAGTTACTGATGCTCACTCTGCATTGAGCATGTTACAGGGTCAGTGAGTATATTTGTAGTAGTAGTGTTATAGTAAAAGATCTAAAAGCTTTTTCTCCTTACTCATTGATGCACATCTCACTTCAAATTAGGTCTGAGAAGTTGGTGTTACATCAAGAAAACATCCCTTATGTGCAGTGCAGCTAGTTGACAATATTTCTCTCACGGGAAAATTAAAAATCCTTTGTTTAATTCTTGCAAGTAAATCTGGATAGTAATTTCTTACTTGTTACTAGAACAATTTTCTAACTTCATGTTATTTCCTTCACAGTTGGTTTTAAGTATTAACCTTATGTTTTTTCTCATTATGTTAGGTGACTGCAGCAACTGACTAATTATAGTACCGCAATTCCAATTTGTTTTAATTACAATTTGAACACAGCAAGCCTAATTTTTTCAGTGAATTAAATTGTCAGTGCTAAGCTGATTCCACCACAGCAAGCAGCTTTTCACAAATCCAGAACCTTTTGGGCAGCTGTTCTTGGCACTATAATTTGAGTAATATTGATAAGTAACATGCAGTTGATGGTTTCTAAAGGTAACCAGTGGGCAATCAAAGTTTGTGTTAGCTGCTGAATGATAAACAATGTCAGAAATCATGCTCCTGAAAGCTCCATTTTGTTTTCTATGCACAGTCGTTTCGAAGTTTCTGGATTACGTGGTTTTAAGACACTTAGTAGTATTAAAGTATTCAACATCAAAGTATCACAAGACCCAGGGAAGTCACTTTCACAGCACAAAGTAGGAGTTAGTAAAACATTGCATGCATAATTATTAGTAGAGAAGGAAGAAGGATCAAAATCAGAGAGGATAAACAACAACAGAATTAATTCCCCATACAGGCCTTATTCTCAACTGAAGGTTCATGTAATCCCTCAAGTTATTTTTTGATCACTCCCGATTTCAGAAATCCCATGAAAGTCTAGAAATAGCCGAATACTGTTTCACAAATTTTCCTCATTTCGCAGCTCAAGCAGCCATACAGGCTCTGTATTAGTCCATTTTCATCCTTCACTGATTAACATTATTTGCAAAAGAACTGGGCACTATGTCTAAAAATAACTTAAAAGGGTTAACCTTGTGAATAAGGCCTGTAAGGGGATTATCTCTCTTACCCTTCATGCTCTCTTGCCAAATTAAAATAGACTAACTTTTGAGTAAAACGCATGAGCAAACCTCAAGTGCTTACGCTACAAAAATTGAATGTTGCACCCTGGTAATAATTTAATACAATTTACAATGTAATGAATTTTCTTATT